CTGATTGATTGACGAAAATCGGGATTAGATATCAGAGAAAAATCCCTGGCAACTCTGGAAATAAAATCACATCGATGCTATATTTAGAATCAAATACAAATTAAAAGAGATAAAGATCAATTCAACCTGTCTAACGTTTCCTATCCGGAATATACAAGATGAAATATCCAGGTGTTGCGGAAAGGGTAGCGTCGTCAGCTTCATCCACGACATGCAACAATGGAAGTGATGTCACGTTCTCAAAACGGGAACATGATTTAAAACAAGACTGTCGGTGGAACAGGTGAATGCTCTCCAGGAACAACTTCTTTGGTAGATTGTCCTGTCTTTTAATATTGTATTTTGCCATATAAATGCAACATATCTATAAAAATGTATGTGAAAATGGAAAGTGTGGCAGAGGAAAGAAGACTAAAAAATGTATATGTCTAATCCAGACTGATACTTGAGCTATGAAAGTTGAGTTATATTTCACTCAGGGGTGATACTTAATATATATAGCAACTAGAGTATTGTAAATTGTGTGGGAGACAATCAAGAGGTCAAAGACTAGAAAATTTGAAACAAATATTACAAAAAATTACTATTGACAAATTCATTTTTCAGTTGGTACCAATTCAAAATACAATTATGTTCCAAATACGAAATACAAGCATATACAAAAATATCTACAAATGTCGATAATTTTGTAATTAATGGGTTTCGGACCCTTACTTTGGTATATTGCACACAATGCAAATTCTGCAAATTTTAACAAAGGGCAGTAACTCTTTAAAAATGTGGTTATATACCCTGATTTGTACACTGCATGTCGCCTTGGTATAACCAATGTATGAATATTTTTTACAAACCTAGTTAAATGCAAGCAAAGTTATAGTCTGGACAAAGCAGCAACTATGCTCCGCATGACAAAGAACCTTCTTAATAAAAAAAAAGAACAACAAACACATATGCTTATTATTAACTCACACGTTCATATTCATTAATCTTTCCCGTCCAGAACACTGAATGATGTTACCATTGCGCAATTCCCCCTCCCACCAGTTAGTATACTTTAATTGTGTTGTTAAAACCACGACTATTCCGAAAGTTGATATCACATCTGTATGATAATGGAGATTTCCTTTATTACCTGAACTGAGTCGGTCAACGGTAAGGAATGAGCCCTTTCTCAGGTAATTACTGACCCTCTGTATGGTTCCATGCACATTATAACGGCCTTAATTGACCGACCATTCAGTGTCACCCGTACACTTGTACCACCTACAGGTGAGAAAGAGCTTCTTTCTAATCAGGAAGGATAGAGTTTTTCTACGGTCCTAGAGATTCAGTCATCTGTAATAAGCTGGGTGATAAATTTTGGTATATAGTAAAAAATCTGGTTTTACCGGTCATGTCAAGCCAGAGAGGAGTGTAAATTGGGATTTTTTCTGGTATGTCTCAGTGATAGTCAGTCTCAAAACATGCAACAAATATAACCAACAAGATGGGAACAGATATATTAGACTTGAAAGTGATTCCAAAAGTGTTTTTTGGCATGAGCAATAACATACATCATTTATAAGATTTAAGGTCCCGGATGTATTGACAAGAGGTTTACATTGTCTTCTACAACTGTAAAACGCTGTTCGTAACGAGACTAAATACCGCTTACTGGACTGATTACGTAATGATTTCAGTAACACGAATTCAATCATAGTTGTAGACAATCTACCACACTCGGTTTCGTGAGCTACATACTATTCAAACCACGGGGAGATTTTATGGTGACTATCATGATTTCAACGAGAAAAATATTTGTCCCTTTCGCGATAGAAGTTGGACGTACTTGATACTATGCCTGGTGGTTCCGTCTCTGTTTACATTGTTCTCACTTGAGAACATGACATTACCTGCTTGGACAGACCAATAGTTCCATGGCAGGTGTAGTGGACTAAGCAAAAGACTCTTACCCTTCTGGAACTACTGGTATTATTTTCTATCCATTCTTACCAGTTGCTTTTGTCAAAGTCTTTCGTATTTCATTTGAATTATGGTTGTACAATAAATTTGCTCTGGTCACTCCAAATTAAATATGTGTAAGAGAAGGCAGAGAGAACCTAGTGTAATTGTGCACTGCAAGTTCAATCTATCAAATACTTCTCCAGAAACAGTTATAATGAGCTGTCATTGTGATTGCTATGTTCCTCTAATAACTAATTGTACAAGAATGAGCTTGATATGGACATATGCAGGAAAGAGCTTGTAGTATGTTAAAGTCGTGTTTTTGTTTTGTTTTAAGAAAAATTTGTCAAGTGTGCAGAATCCTTCTTCTCTTCCTTTTTATCTGTCGTTATTATCTGTTTTATTTTTAAATGAAAATAAATTTCAACTCTCCCGTTAAGAAATAGAACAAACATTGTCTTTATTTTATTTGATTCAACAAAATTTTTATACATAATACAAATGTATTTGCATCTTAGACATAGGACTTTCATATCCGAATTCTATTGCAAACAATATTTATAAAATACCTTCAACAAATAACATTGCAATACTCTATGTTTTATGGTCAGGAAAATGTATGACTACTGTAACTGTGGAAATTTTCGGGGAGGATGTGTGTGTGGTTTTGGTATAATTTCGCGACTTCTATGGGTAAACTATACGATCAAAAATTCATTTTATTTCGTCTGTAAAATTGAAGTACATAACAAAATGTTCAAACGACCTTCGCGTAAGTAGCGTAAATAACCCCCTCTCCTAAATTTCCACTTTTACAGTATGCGATAGAGTCTTTGTAATTAGAATGTCAGTCAACAGCGGTCTCCAGCACTTAAACACACAACACACAGAATCGAGTTCGCAATGTTAGTAACATATTGGGCCTTGTAGCTAAGGACTGAAAATTTGTTGGTGTGTCTAAATCACCGACCGTTCGTGAATTATAAGACCTGATTGTTGGTTACGGCAAATCGATCGTTGGTACAGCATAAGAGCTGAGTGGTTAGGACATAGCCGTTCCAACCACTCTTAGAATGCATTTGGGTACCCTCCATAACACGCCTGTAAACGTCTCACGCCATTTCAAGATTTTTGAAAAAAAACTTCTTTGTAAATTAAATTACTTCATTAGTTTCTGTTTTGTAATTTGTACAACCATTTTGAAAATAAACGATTGTTTATCTGGGAAATGACTACGTTAATTGAAGAAGGAATAAACGTTATGGATTACACAAGAACAGTGTTGAGTAAACAGTCACAATCATCGTGTTTACATTTCGTACATATAGACTGTGATTAATGGTTATTTAGTTACAAAATCAGCCCACTGCCTCCCCGTTTATCAAGGCATACAATAAGCTACAGGATACCGCCATATCTTAGCCTGACGTCAAACTTTGTCAAATTCTAGTAGCCCGTGATCCATTAACAGTAGCGATTTCTCGCCGACCGTTGGTAAATTACTGACAGTTGGTGAAACTTGCCATCCGACTGGTTAGAACAGAATGCCAAATGTTAATGAAACATAAAACCTGATTGGTTAGGACAGAGCGCCAAATGTTAATGAAACATAAAACCTGATTGGTTAGGACAGAGCGCCGAATGTTAATGAAGCATGAAACCTGATTATTCATATATAATTCATATTCATGATACAGATATTTCATAAGTGCAACAAGACGATTAACTAGCAAAGAATACTATACATTTACCTTGGTGCTGGACGAGTTGGTTAGATAAAATATATGTGCATCATTAAAATAATAAAAAATATGAAAAATACCCATCATCTTTAGAGTTTTAGTAAACAACGGATGAAATCTATCTCTATTTCGAACCTATAACCCCAATATCTCTAACATTAAACACCTGTAAGATAAGTACCTGATTAAGACGTTATCTTTCATGTGCAAATCGGCAAACCTAATGTCAGCCTCTAGCGTGTCAACCGTTACATCCACAGTATATTCAGAACTAACCTTATTTCCAAAGAATGAAATTGAAATTGTCCTTAAAGAATTTTGAATGTTGGTTTTAAATATATAATATCAGGTGATGGGTAACTCATGCCTAAAAGTACACAGAAACAAAACAGAAAAGAGACAGGAAATCACCTTCTTCACATAATACAAACATATCGGAGATCATATTAAATATTGGTTGAGATTCTGGTTTGTTGTTTGGACTGCTGTTTTCCATTTACAAAGGTCAACAAAGTTATTTATTTACAAAGCAAGGGTAAATGTTTACATGAAGGCCCTTAGTTATAAGTCATTAGAATGTAACGATGTCCGTGGCACAAGCAACTCAACATGTGTATCATCAGTCACCTGAAGCCCATGTTTACACGTAAACATTGCCGTGACCATCGCTCCATCCGGTGTCGGTTTAGAAGCTGTTTTATTCAAGTGGTGAGACAGACATGCAATTCTGGCAAATTTGATGTTACACATTCCAGTTAATAAATATGTCATTGGCGTCAACCATGTTTGTAATCTCTCTTTGACTCGAACACACTACCGTATTATCAATGATAGCACATCATAAATGAATTCTGAAACATGTAACGCATTCCGATACCAAACAACGCCACTTTTGATTCGCAAAATCACGTGAGTTTGTGTGTGTGTTGGTTTTCTTTTTAATTTCATCATTCTGTTACTTTGAAACAAATAATTATCCGTGAGCTGTCCATCAAGCGGTTTTAATTTTATCTTAACGAGTCACCTTGTGCTATTTATATGTTTCTTCGCGTCTTTCATTTATAAAAAGTAAAATTCAGTTGGAACAACTAACCGGTATTATATCCTTAACATGAGAACTAATTGCACAATACACGATCGACATTAAACAGTCTGATGAGAGGTTGATTAAAGTTCAAACCCTGTTTATACATGTGACATTCCCATCAGTCAATCCTACATCGACGACTCGTCTGTTTGACATTCATTCACTGACACACATTAAAGACTCGTGTAACATGAACATGTAAATACACCACGATGTCTGATGGATAGCGTTTTGTTTTGCTGTATGCTATGAGATATTATAATAATTGACCTTTAAATATAACTTAACGTCCCATGACGTCATTTCTGTTTTGCTGAACAATAGCTACGTTTGCATGGGTCTTGGACCATTTCGTCAGTTTTGAGAGAGTTGCTTGCCAAAACTTTTCAAGAGCCCCGTCCTCCCAGGCGTTGCTCGCCACATGTTCTATGGCACCGCCACCTGTGTATTCTTCTAAGGCTGACTTCTGGTTTAGTGTCATATTGTCTTGAATATCAAAAAACATCACATCCTTAATTTTTTCCATCAACAGACCGAAAAGGTATGCATCGTCCACAGAAAAATATGGATTTGAAAATGATGCTTTGTATAATTCTGGGACCAGATCAGCAGTGAAGATTGATGTATAACCACTACAGAAACGCGGAAAGCGTTTCCTGCCAGGAAACACATTGGGTGGTACATACCATTTACTATTCTTGTTCCTTTCGATGGGACTAGTGTCGTTTTCCTTGGCGTGACACATTACAACTTTATTCTTCTCGTAAATTTGCGAGATTAGATATTCAATTAAAGCAAATATATTGACAAACATGTCATCATCTGCCTTGAGAATGAACTTAGCCTGTATACAATTCTCATTTATCCATTTCATGGCGAGGATACTTTTCATTGTGAGATTAGCGATACTATCTACGAAATCCCCTTGGATTATGTCGTGATAGAGAAGGTTCTCATTGTTTATTTTCACCTGGTCTTCTTTGACGGGAGACTTTCCCAACACAAATATAGTTTTAATCTGTATATCCTTGAATGTCTTTGAACTCGCCCATGTCTCTCTTAAGACAGAACGACGCTTAAAATGGTCCCATCGACTTTGAAAATATATCAATATATCAACCGGGTCACTCTTACACACGCCTTTGTTATTGATTACTTCCGTTTCCGGTAACACCGGATGTTTACCTTTAGCGCTGTACTTAACAACATTTCGCTCCCTGAACCACTGATGAAACGGATCAACATATGGATCAGGGCGATCAACTTTCTGTTCCGGACGTTTCGGCGTCGTATATCCTATCTTCACGTCATGATCATCTAAATTCGTTCCCATGGCCATTCGGAAACTTTCTTTCGCTTCCTTTAACACACCGTGTTTACGTCCGGATGATGATCTTACTTTTTTGTAAAGCTTTGAAGACGACAATGACGTCATCAACGTAAAGAGACATGCTAAGACAACGAAAGTAGCGAAAACGTTTTCACATACTTTAAGTATATTTCGTTTTTGCCAACCCATATTTACCTACATGCCCATCTACTCTTTACAGCAATATCACGTGAAATTCTTTGCGTGTTGACGTCACAGGTTTGCTGACGTCAGTTGTCATATGTGGAAGAGGAAACCACATGCGACAGGCACAGTTGTATCGATCTGTCTCGCAATTTCATCACGTAAAATCCGGGATTAAGAGTTGTCTTGTTCTGGCGAACCTCCCGTCACATGGTTAGCCCCACGCCTCAACTAGTCACAGGTAAGCTTGACCGGAGAAACCTGTAACATCGGAAGGTAGAGCTTCTCAGGGCATGCTTTACAACAGCAACTCTCATCTGAGATGACAACGTCTTTTTTACCAGTAAAAATAGGATTCATAAACGGCTAATTCCGGGGAGTTAACACCCGTTTAACAAGTCGTATTAAAGTATAGTTGCTTAAAACTCATCTAGCAGGTCGAAATTGACCTTTGATAGAAAACTCTCACCACCTGACCAATTTCAATACAAATAGCATGAAACAGGATAATAACACCATCCACCAAGTATCTGTCTCCATTAGGCCAGTCACACATTGACAATTTAGCCAGCGTATGTCAACCTTTGAAAAATATTTGGTTGATACATTAGCGTGCGTCGGATACGTTATGAGTAAGTTTTGCCGAGCAAAAAGCAGACTTGTACATCCTGTCACAAGTCTTTGTACGGCGAGATCGTCGAGAAATTTTGTGCATGCATAAAATTATTTTTATCGGCTCATGCTAGAGAATATATACATGTGTATTAATATATACAAATTATAGAAATGCCTGTCACGACACCTGTCTATAGTAATAATAAGGTTATCAACCACGACACCTGTCGGTAACCTTTTTTTTCTTTTCCTTATCTATGCAAAACTAGAATTACAAAGAGGCAAAGCCAAAGTGACCATATTTCAGCGGGACTGTAAGTACAACTGAGGTCGAAGTCATGTTACGTACTCTTCAATTAATGCACGTGAGTAATTACAGTTAAACATAAGAGTAAAAAATGTCGTGTCATATGCCAATATTGCTGTGACACAATGATGGAGAGGCTGACACAACAGTAGTTTAATCATACATGACATGTGTACTGCTGTTGTTGGTTCCGGTTCAGCCCTGGGTCCCGTGTGCGCGCGTGCTTCGTCAGTAACAGCTGCAGTCACTTATAAACCAAATGGTAACAATATTTCAAAACTATGATTTGCAAGTACCTGCCACTGTCGCAAGGAATAACATTTATGGAACAATGAACGCAAACAGTTGAATGTCGTCTTTTCATAAATTGACTGTATCATCAAAGAAACGATATAGACATATCCAAAAATAACAATGTCATTTATGTGTACCTAGGGATACTATTCTTTAATGGGCAAGCAGCAAGCAATATGAAACATGTCAATTAAAATACCAAATCCCTAGATAGTCTAAAATGCTAATGACCATGTGAATGCAAAGAATTAGTTACGCATGATTTATTTCTAAATGTGATAATTCTTTGGGATACTCTAGTATTTTGTCAATAGTTGATTATGACCATTATTTCCGGGTGACAGGTACACATGATACATACAAAATTTGAAGAAGACCGTCGAACTTTGTATTTAACTTTGGACTTTAACTGATATCCAACATCACGTGACTGCATGGAGTGTCGGGCAATCTTAAACATTATGAATATGTCTCCGTCACATTTATATTTTAACAGAAGTGTGACACAACACAGATAAATAAACAGGTGGAAACCTGATTAAAGATTTGATGGCTCTTGAGTCTTACCTAAAGAACACTGATAAGAGATAAATGAAGTGGAGGGTTTGGGTGTTTACAGAATAGTTACTGTAGGATACCTGGACAGGACTTAAAAGCGAGTGAAGTGTAGTTAGCAGGCTGGGAGTTATTATGAAATCGTGGTTTCGTTATCAGGAGGGACATTTGTAGGTGATCGATGTTAAGTTGTGTGAAAGAAATTAAATGTTGGGTATTTTTTGAGAGTTAATTAAGTGGTAACTAGTTGTTAAAGCGTGAGATTTTGAGAACGTGGGGATTTTTAAGTCGAGTCGATCCTAAGTCGTGTTTGTCTGTCCCCTATATCTAGTATGTTCAGACATTCAACAAGTCTACATCCATGGGCAAATATCTCTCATTTCATGACGAGCGTTCAATTTAATTTAAACATTATTTATGGTGTTTAACATCTAAATCAAGTAAACATTCTAACTGTAAAGACCTATCGCAGATCGAGGTCCAACAACGAAACACTATCTAAAGGAATCCGGGCCAACCTAGAACATCAACTTAGCCAGTGTTTCGTTATCAGTAGAGAAAGACCAGTGCACTAGAAGCTTAATCTCATATCACAAGCCTAATTACACCACTTGACATAAGTGTATTGGTCAGTACTTAGCCACTGATAAGCTGATGTCATCTCAGAGGTTTGTACGTGATACATGAGGGACATGGGCTGACTCGAGATGCCGAGTATGACAGATCCCGTGGGTGTAATTCTTTACCGCGTGAGATACTGGGGAACCCGACCCCGGGACTGTGACACTACAAACACTGGGTACACACCCCGTCACAAGGCTGTGATACATGGTCACAAGAAATTGTTATAAACATAGGTTACCTGACCACGGGGCTGTGTAATACTTGGGTCAGGAGAATGTACACGATTCCGGGGTCGTGACACCAGATAAGCAATCCCGTATATGTGAATGCCGGTTACTCGACATCGCGACATGGATACCGAGACCCAAGGGTGACTCGAAAAGCGTTGATGGTCTGCAATGCAATTCAAAGCCAGCCAAGACCGTGATCACACAGTTATCGCACTTCAAATGATGGATTATCTATTCTTTTACTTTGAAAAACCCATCTCAGAAAAAACGGAAACGATAACATACATGTATTTGACAAAGATATACCTTTCCTCTACGCCATTGGAACAAGTCTTCCTCAGAGATTGTCCAACGCTGTATTTATTTACATATTCTACACCTACTGCCGACTATGTTACCTGCCATTAACAACAAGATTACTAATCCTGAAGATAGTTGTTTGTATATTGTCTGTCTTATATAATTTGTGTGTCATGCAATGTATTGCACTCTATGCGCAATGACAAATGACATTAAATTTAATTAAAACAAAACAATTATTACCACGTGGACACGTGGAGTAAAGTATCATGTTATTTCGATTCATAATCCGACCTTTTTATGTCCTTACTGCCGTTTTCATGTCTTATGTCGCGATACCTTAATATGGTGTGATTTTACTAATATTCCGGGTTTTTACGCATTTGTTTCTTTTAATAATAGTTATGAAGAATTAAAGTTATGAAGAATTAATGTTTGTCTTTATGTTATTATATTAGTATGACCCGACGTTGAAGATATTTTGTTCCTTTTAATAGGGACCTCTTCATATCTGTGATATCTCTAGATATAATCCTGTAAGGCTACTTGTCACAACAGCATTAATATACCAGACCTCGTTCTTACAATTACTGACTAAAATATGACTAGTATACATACAACTGGACATCGTCGTGGTCTCTGGTCACAAAAGGACCAGCATACAATTGGTCATCCTCAAGGTCACCGAGCACAACATGAACAGAGTACAACTGGTCATCCTCAAGGCCACTGAGCACAACAGGAACAGAGTACAACTGGTCATCCTCAAAGCCACTGAGCACAACAGGACCAGAGTGCAACTGGTCATCCTCAAGGTCACTGAGCACAACATGACCAGAGTACAACTATTAATCCTCAAGGCCATTGAGCACAACAGGACGAGAGTACAACTGGTCATCCTCAAGGCCACTGAGCACAACAGGACCAGAGTACAACTGGTCATCCTCAAGGTCACTGAGCACAACAGGACCAGAGTACAACTGGTCATTCTCAAGTTCACTGACCACATCCTCGGTGTTACTGACCACGTTAAAGGCAACAAACTACTGGTCATCCTTGAATTGAGCTACATGTACCACAACACGATCAACATAAAATTAATAGTCCCCAAGGTCACTGACCACAGCATGACCAGCTTCCAGACCACAACGTAACAGGACCTACATAAAACTTGTTATCCTTGAGATGAATGACACCAATTTGACATGTTCATCCATGCAGTTGCACTAATTGGCGCCAGTGATCACGGTGTTCGGGGATCATATTTGATAGGATGGGGTCTACAATGGAATAGAAAATTACGTGCAACATTTCGATGACTACAAGGTCATCTCCATCTTACTCTGAGGTAAATTTTACAGGACTGTAGTGTCTCGTGCACTGTAGATCTCGGTACAAATACCATTCCAACATAGTCATCTGTATAATGAAAGGGACAATTCAATCGAGGCGTCACACATCATTTCTTACCTGGTTGTGTTACAAACCCGGTGAAAAAGTTCAGTTAAAAGTCTGTTCACTCTATTGTATACCAATGGTCAAGCTGTATTACCTGTATTTTACAAAGTATTGTGGCTTTGTGTTCACTATTTGAAATGTAAATTGAATTAGTCGTGGGACTTCTTCGTATACCTCTGTATTAGGATATAAAAGTTTAGCTCTATGACAACTGAAATATATGTGTTTTACCTGGTGTAAATTTCACTGAAACGTCTCGAGAAAGATGAAGTTAATGGTAAAACCTATTGTGAACTACTGGAGTGAGACGTTCGACTGCGTCTGGAAGTTAAATGTACTAAAACCTTGTCATGCGTATTCTCCCGGTAGTAAAGAACAGTGACGACTTTGTACAGATGCCAGGTCCTATTTCACCTAAAGAATGTATCCACTGAAAATGGCTTTGTTTCGCTGGAGTCTCGCCATGAAATTCGAGGGTCAACTTATTGTGTGTGTTTTTTTTCTACCACTGAAACTCATGTGTATATCCTTATCTGAGTCTTTTGTGAACATAAAACAATATTGTATCTAGCATGTATCCAACTAAAGTGTGTATCTCTGTATCTGGCGTGTATCTCTGTATC